TTCCTCCGGAGATGGAAGAACAATAGCGTGATACAGATTAAATTACTGCCTGCAACCGTGAATGTACGACGAAAATAAATCTGTTCAATTAGCGTGTAGAGTGCCTTCGCAAGAATAGCCGCTTCTAGTCGCTCTGCAACGCTTCCGTAGCAAAATTGCGTACTGTTTTTAGGAATGAGAAGCTAATATTACATGAAGGTTGATTCGAACATTTTCCAGTTCTATTTTTTAAATTATCTGCGATGCTATTTTTCAGCGAAACAGGAGAAAATTTCGATTTGTATTTATGGAATTTATTGTTGTAAAACGAACTAAGTATTCTTTAACGTTTCAAATCGAAATTCCGGGATTCGATGAAGTATTCGGATGTAGTGTTTTATCAAAAGGAATCCTCGAAGCGGGTCAACACTCCGCGACTCTCCAATCCAAACGCGAGCTACAGAATGTTTTTCGAAGGTGGCTAGTGCCGGCTTTGTTATTGAGCCGAGAATAAATCAACTACGTGGAAAAACAGACACGTATTACATTGCACGGTTTCATCGCTCCGCGGTGAAAAGAACTGGAGCTCGGTTCCCGGAAAATCAGCGAAGTGACTACTTTGATAACATCGGGGTATCTTCCGTTCTGTTGGTTACGAACCCATCATCCCTCTCATTAAAATGAAACGTAAGAAACCGTGGTATAAATATGTTGTTACTTCATTTAACGCGACCTTAATACTTCCCTCCCTAAGTCCTTCGTCCTTATGCTGCGAGACGTGTCATTTAATTTCGTCTTAAATACTTTTTTTCTCTCGTTTGTAAGAACAAGATCTTTTAATCAGAGAAATACATTTTTATAACGGAAATACTCGGATTAAAAATAAATTGCTATGCTCCAGTGAACAGGATTAATGCTAATTATAGATCTGGATTGGATCTAGGAACGATTGCTCGATAAGATTTTATGTTCGAGAGAGTCGTCCCATTTTCTCACGGAAAACCAGACGGTAAGAGACGTCGGATATCTGAAGAAGGCATATTGTAGACAGAAAACGTGGTAGAATTGAGTTTCCAATTCCTTGTTGTCTTCCCTCGTATCAACCACTCGCGAACCCATCATTCTTCAGCTAGATTCAGCTGAAACCCTGGTTCCGAGGGAGCTTAACTTTGGAAGTATGTACCGCCGGTTTGTATACGTTCGTGATTTACTCGCTCTCCGGGTTATGTACCGTATCCATGACTGGATGCCGCGAAAACGTGAAGAAGGATTGAAAACGCCTCGCCTCCCCGCGGCCTAGAAGAAGTCAGCGCGGCAGCAGTTGAGATTCGTCGATGGTGTGTGTGATAAATTTCCGGATGTACGTTCACGGTGTACACGTGTACATGTATCAGCGGTTGGTCTGGCGAAGCTTCCAGTAACGTCGTCCGCCTCGCTACGTCCTATTCCTTGCGAAAGTTCATACTGGTTCCAGTTTCAAACTCGAGATTACGAAAATCGTGATTCTCGGATTTAACATTTAATTTTCTCTAGTTGCTTTATATTTATAGATCGTTCTTCGAGAATTAAATTGTATTGTAATACCATGGTTTCATTTTTTTAAATTCGATGAATTTGTTAAATAACATTCTCATCGTGTATTTTAGATATATAGTTGGCGACGTGAGGATATGAAATGCGACAGGCATTTCCTATGTGTAACGTCAAATTGATTGTCAGGACGAGACGAAGCGCATATGCGTGAAATCGAGGCGGGGTTGCGATTTTCAGTGAACCGCGGTTTCGACGGCAAGGCGCGTGCGGCTGAGTGCCACGACGGAGCCTCGCGAGGAAGAAGCGTGGGTACCGGAATACGAAGGAATGCGGGGGCGATGATGTCTGGCCGACTCATTACACCAGCGCAGCGCAGTCCCGGAAAGTCTCTAGCAGAACCGTAAGCGGTTGAAACGATAAATAAAAGGTGCAAAGAGACGTAACAACAGGAAGAGGCGTTCTCGAATGCGGAACTGCGCCGCGTTTTGCGTCGTGTATCGGCCGGTCGGATATCAAGCGGCGTAGAAAAACGTGGACGACTCCCGATGGAACGTGGAACAAAATCGTTAAGCCTCAGCGATCATCGAAAGAAGTTACGTACGTTCGTACCGTGCAGATTTGTACGGACATATATCGCAGCCCCGACGCGACCCAACGTACCGTACCCGTAATTTTTCTGATTCGTCTGCCGTTCCTACATTCCGAGTTAAAAGAAAAAACGTTCAACGCGCTTTTACTACATACGTGAACTTTCATATTTTATGTATACTTATCAAGCTGATGCGTGTGAAATCTTGTCTCATTCGGAGCTTACATTCATCCAACTATTAAACGAATCTTAATTTATCTAGAATTTATGCCTTTGCGTCGAATAAAAATTGTATAAAAAAATGGAAATTCGTCACGACTCGTTCCAATCATGGAAATGTATGCAACGAATGAATTTGTTCCGGTGAATTCAGTCGCTGACTGAAATGAAATGATGATGAATTAAAAGAGATTACTAAGGCATCTATTTATCTCACAGTCACAGTGGACACGTGTTATTCTATTCCGCGTTGGATCCAATATTGACGTAGGAAGCTTTCACAGGTGCCGATATGCGATCTTGACGGTAGGAAACGACGACGTGTCGTAATAGCTGATGCCGGTGAAGCTTTCCGCATCCGGTGTCGATAATCATTCGGTCGTTCAATCAATCCATACTGATTGAACGATCTAATGCATTCTAACATAGTTGAACATCTCGGCTTCGGCTTAGGCTTATTCGTCGTGCGTTCACTGCGCGTTCGACGAGGATTAACCTCTTGACACGAGGATCATACGTTTCTGCTATGAAAGGCGAAAATGTACAGTGTAAGTCTACTAAGTGGTACGAGACGTAATCCGACTTCAGGTTGAAAAGAAAATGTCTACACAATGATTTACGTTTGTATATACAATTTTCACTATGTGCAATGCCTTCATTCAAAACAGTCCCGTCGGTCTAGTTGAATTTCATCTGCGATATATATACTCCTACGCATTTTCTTGTTGCTGGGAGAAATGAAATGCAGTAACAATAGCTGTACAATAATTATTCTGGCAGACTGGAGGGGATAAGGTGCAATCCCCTTTTACGCGTCCGCAGTCAGTTCAACAATGAAATCGTGTTCTTACGTTTTCCGCGAGTCTTCCCACCTTTATAGTTGTTGAACCAGACTTACCTGAGTTTAAACTGTAAACTCCGTTGGAGCCTAGACGCGCCCCAATCATCGCCAGTATTTGCATTACACACGCTAATGATTCAGCTGCTTGATGAATGCCCGCGGCTCGCAGTCAAGCTTACCGCGACGTGGAACCGAGGGAACAATTAACAGAGAAAATGCAGTGAGTTTTAATAAAACCCAGAGCAAACCTCGCGAGCTTCCACGTAAAACCTAAACAAGTATGCGCTAGAATTACGAAACAAATTAAGAATCTCGGATTCTTATAAATTCGCAGATTATTACATAATATTATAAGCGATGTATTTTCTAAAATCAATAAATGTCCGATGAATGGAACGTAAATGAGTTTTAGAAATATAATTTCACCGTCGACGATTGACACGTGTCATTCTTAACGTTAAGAAAAGTACAAGTAGCAGATGTATGCGTTTAGATCGGGAAATGAAGAGCAGCACGTGGTAGAGATGGTGGGCGATGCAATGCAAACACGATACGACGCGACGCGAATCTGCAAAAGCAATTTGAATTTGCCGAGAGAGAATTTAAATTGCTTTTGAACAGTCTGAATTACAAGGTAGCTTCAAATTGTCTTCTGGCAATTCACATCCGGTTTGCATGATAGAATTCATTTCTAGTACACATACACACAATATTAGAACGAGAAACTTAAACGACGTCCGTCGGAATAATTCCAACGAATTATTATTTTAACGCTGTCCCCGGGAACTCGAAAAGATATTCGTGCTTCAGAAATATAAATTGGAATTATTAAAATCATGCCGAATAATTAATATACTTTGATTTATCGTGCAAACAATACTTACAATCAAATTATTTATTGGATCATACTGTGATAATTAATAAAGCTTTATCGATCAACGCAGTGCAGCGTGAACAACATAAAAAGTGTATATATTTATTATTAATGATACATGATAAAAAATTCAAGTTTTGTTTTCAAGCTCCCACGATTTGCATGATTAATTCGGAAATAGAAATTGATATCGACGACGGATAATGCAAAATAGGTTGTGTACTTTCACTCGCAACTAAATTGATTAGAAATTAATTACGGCACACGCACACGGTGACCGAGACTGTGTAAAATGAATAATTAACGAGTTTCGAGTTTCCACGAAAAACGCTTAATTAATAACGGAGTTGCGATGCGATGTTAGACCCGCATAGTAAATGTCCGCTCACGTGCGTAGCACGTTAATCCTCCAGCCAGACGTTTAATTTGCGACAGATTTTTCCTCCTCTAAGCCGGAACGCCGACGAAACGGACGAACTTTTCAACCCGTTGCGTCGCGTTCACGATAACTGAGCTAGGATACGCCACGCCACGTTCTCCTGTCCTATCGCAAATGCGCAAACATTGTCATAGGCGTTGACATTGCATATTCATTCTCTCCTGCATGTGATCATGAATACAAGATGCGGCATATGTACGAATTTCATCTCATTTCTGTCATTTCCTCATGTTCTATTGATCATTTAAACTGATTGTGAGTCTATCGAAACGAAGAAGACGAAAAGAGGAAATTAATAAATAACATCGTCGTCATACACATGAGATGGTGTATATGAGAAATATTTATAGATTTATGTGCATTTTTAAAGAACAAAAGAATTTTCATATCTTTCTGAAACAATAATTTCAAAATAACTACACATGTATTATTTTTGACAGAAAGTGTAGCGCTATTTCGAAATTCTTCTATTACCTCTGGGTGATCGATACAAATGGCAGTAACGAAATCACGATTTTGTTTCCAGGTGTACGTGGACTTAGTAATATAACTATCGATATTCCATTGGCCGTTGCAGCTGGCACAACCGTCAACATGAGCTGCAGATACGATCTGCAATCAGACACTTTGTACACGGTGAAGTGGTACAAGGGCCCAGAATTTTATCGATACATTCCGAAAGAGCTGCCACCGATTCGCGTTTTCGGAGACTTGGGTGCCAAAGTTATCGTAAGTATTCTGTCCAATATTATTTCAAATTCATTTCCATTATCGAAAGCTTGTTATTTATACTGGTTAAGATTAGCTGAAATAAATAATTCGAACAACGATCGTGAACATTTTCCGAAATAGTTTTTGAGTCGGTTGTCACGATAATCCCGTGGACGCAACGGTACCGAATTATGCCGGCATGTTATTTCGAGCACGAAACACCCTCAGAATTTCTTAGTTATTAAAAGTTGGAAGGCGACCCCCTGTGCGAATCACGTTTTACATTCACACCTGACGTGCAATCGTCGGGAACCGAGGGAACGGAAGTGAGTCCGAGTCTTCCGGATTATATTTCACCCCAAGTTTCGCCAACCGTGAAAGTTTGTTAGCACCATTCATGTTCTACTTTATTACATAGCCGCGCCCTGACAAACTGCAAACAAACGTACGTGTCTCTTTTCTCAACTAATCAACCGTGCCATTCGTTATCTTTTTAATCCGTCGATCTTCAGATTTTATACTTTTGCTAATAATATGGCTCATTCTCGTATTCGATAAAATGAAATATTTATACGTTTATTTGGTAAAAACATACATAATTTATATAGTACATAGTTTTAGTACATATTATACATAGTACATAGTTTTAGTACATATTATACATAGTATTAGTACATATTTAGTACAATTTATATAGTACATATTTATATAGTACATACATAATACATAGAACATGATTTTATGGATCAGGCACCTTATACATGTACATAAAACGAAGAAGTGTATTAATGACAAATCAGTGTTCTAAGAAAATAAATTTTACGCTGGCACGACGGCAATCGATACCAGAACGTTAAAATTCTATCGGTCGCATTCTAATTTGCTAAAAGCGTGCACAAACATTGCTGACCAAGCGAGATATACCGTTGCTACGAATAACTGATCTGGAAGAAACCCTGATTAGTTGAAACTGTTCGGAGCTTCCGTGTGTAAGCTGTATTCTTCTGAACAGTAACAGCCTAATCAATCTAACGAAAAGATTAAACAATTCTCCCAGTTCTCTTACCGATTCTGCAATTTAGGTATTTACCTTCAACTCTCTAACGAAAGTAGTATGCAATTCAACTTCTGATACTTCAGACATAAGTGCATTTATCGAGTACAATCCTGTGTATTTTCACAATACTTCAGTTTTATTTACTTTAAAATTGAAGTTATATCTTTGGTGGAATTTGTAACATTGCTTAAAACAATATTTTTGTGTTCAATATCTTAAATTATATATATATATGTATTATTTTCTGAAAAGTTTTAATTTTTGTTTAATATATGTTTTAAGTAATAAAGTATTCTATAAAAATTCTCTTCACTCATATTGAATTTAATTCATGTTACAGCAAAATCGGAGTGACGCTTACCGTGTAGTTTTGAAAGACGTGCAGCCAAATAATTCTGGGAAATATCGATGCGAAGTTTCTGCCGACTCTCCATCCTTTAACACCATGACAGTCTCGACGTACATGTATGTCACCGGTAGGTATCACACCTTTCACTCATACAATAAACATTTATTTAGCAGAAAACGGATAGAATCGATTATTCTATTTACGGTTGTTACGTAACAGTAAGTGGTTTCCGAAGAGCGTTTCATCGAATTAAACTAGATATCGGAATTATTAAAGCGAACAGTGATCCGTATATGTGCCTCGGAAAAAGCAGCCGAGATAAAAGTGGGATCTCGACAGCCTCATTAAATAACCGAATACGTACGCTTCTTTCATCTCGTCATTTATCTTCCACGCGTCTCTTAACCGAGTTTACTGTTAATTATCAGCTTCGTTTCAGCGAACACGGCTCGGCTGCCTTTCAGAAACGTTTCACCTACTTCTTTACAGATCAAGCTTTTAATATGCGTTATTAACGTTGAATAAAAAACATCGATCCCAGGGGTGCATGCGAGTACCCGCGACGAATCGGAAACCGAATCTGTGACTTATTATTTCGTTAAATCTCGTCGACATCTTTCAATTCATGCTGCTGCACTTTCATTATCCTCGTTGATGAGCAGTATTGTCGCCGTAATCGCGGCCAATTAGATGAAACGCAGTCAGGAAAGACAAAGTGACGAAACGAGGTAAAAAAGGAAAAAGAGACGGTAAGCAAGGGACAGAGTAATACCGGGTTTCGTTCCGTTCCCACTGTCTCGTATTCTCGTCGAACGTCGACTTAACGACACCACAACTACCTCCGCGATTCTTCTTTGAAGAGACAACCTGATTGCCTCTCCTTTCCGATCACGGATCGCTCGTAAAAGCTCGATACCTAGGATCGAGTTTTCGAATCTTGCCTCGTACTCCTGAAACGCTCGTCCTCGCTTCCTCTTCCTACGGTCTTCTTCGTTTTCTTCATTCTCGCAAGACGAGATGATCGTCCTGCATCCACAACATTACCAAACAAGTTCAAAATGGTAATCTTCGTCGGTTGGCTACCCGAGCCCCGGAGCGTCGCTGAACGAACGGCTGGCTACATACCTATAGGCGGAAGTCGTTCGCCCGAAGTGAGACAATTCTTTGACAGTTTCGCTACCGCTACGAGGAAATTGACTGCCTTCTGTAGACGGGTATAATGATCTCCCGGGTTGTACACGCATCACGTGTTACGTATACGGAATACCATGCCCTGGGTGCAGATTCTTGTGAAAAAGTGTCATCGATCTCACCCTAACAATGGAGTTTCCATGTACTCGACGACTCGACGTTGTGCGAGTTAGGAATCACGAGTTCAAAAATATTCCATAGGATCGAGTTTTCTTCAAATGATTTTGTTAACTGTTACGTGTAAAATAATTCATAATATTCATTGAACTTGCATATGAAAGCATTGGAAAATGGTATTGTATTGTTTAAAATGGAAAACTGTATTTATTAGAATCTTTTCTTTGATACTATTTTAAATAAATCTGAATTTGATTTTTATTAAATTTGACTCCAAGAAGTTTCAAAAATAACAAATGTGTTATTAAATTTAAAGAATGGAGTAATCCTCGAAATTTATGTTTTAAGATATACTTTTAAGAATATTTTTATGAAGAAATTTATAATCTAATTGTAAACTGTACGAGTAGTAGTCGGAGTGCATCAGGTCACGCTTCTACCGACTGCCCGTAAAATTAAAAAATTCATCCCTGAAATTAATTCTTTTTACATCCATTACACAAATTTATTTTAAAATATTTTGACAAACATATTTTTGTAACTTTTTCATTTTTAATAATCATATCTGCTGATGTATAGCTCGACCGTAAGAACGTAGATGGCAGTTAGTCTGCAGAAATCTGATTGTGCGATTACACCTGTATCCGTTTTATCACCTGTGCACCGCATGTAGTATGTAACAAGGGGCCAACAATCAATAATGTTAATAATAATATTGCAAATATAATTTAAACAACAAATTTTTATCTGATGTTCCTTTCCTTAAAAAAATACATAACGAGTATCACTTATTAGTTGATATTATTTAATATCAGAATAAATGACTTCGAAAGTTTGAATTTACCATTCAGCATCCGATAATAAAGTATTTTTATCTTCCGGTTACTAAGACATTGAACAAATTTCAGATCTGCCGAAGGGCGAACCTCAAGTAAGAGTGGAGAAGATACGTTACGGCGTGGGCGAGACAGTGCGTGCAAACTGTACCGTCCCTTCGGGAAATCCACCGGCGAATGTGACGTGGACTGTCAATGGGATACCGGTAGGTTGATGGATGGAGAAACTTTTCAGAGATGTTAGTCTGCCATTCCAGACAAACTATCGTTCTGGATTCGATCGATATGCTACCTCCATCGTACATCCTGTCATTGTTTTCCAACAAATTCTTCTGTATCTAAAATTCAATATATCAAGGAAGAACTTAAATTT